GGCTACGTCCCTGACTTATAGCCTACATCTTCGTGGTTAGCATAAAGAGAACTAGAACGTCGCTCCATTAAGAGGGCCTACCTCCACCTATATGCCTAAATACAAAATTCACGAATGCAGGCGATTTTTTCTTCATGCTCGAGGGTGGGTTTCACGGAAACTTTACAGACGCACGTATACAGACGTAAATCAACATTTGGTTGCTCCACTTAAAAAGGGAACATGTAATGTTCCTTCTGAGAAAATTAAAGAAAATCTATATTTTATAATAATAATAATGATAATATTGTTTAAAGGTTTGCATGGCGAAGTATAATATATAATTAATGCTTGCGGTACACCACGTAGATAGTTCTGAAAAGAACTGTTGTTGTTGGTTGAGAATATCTCGACGTTTCGGTTGACTTGCTTCAACCGTCTTCAGGAGAATAATATCTGCAGAGATCTCAAACAGGGAAATACTTGTTGAGTGATGAGACTTGCTGCTGATTGGTTGAAAACTAAACAAAGACTGAGCCTACCAGTGAAAAGCTATACAAAAGCTAAAATTCACGGTCTGAATAGAAGGGCGGGACGTGGCTGGAAAGCCAAGACAGTGGCATTGTTCTAGCTGGGGGAAGGAAAGCCCTGTTTGAGATCTCTGCAGATATTATTCTCTTGAAGACGGTTGAAGCAAGTCAACCGAAACGTCGAGATATTCTCAACCAACAACAACAGTTCTTTTCAGAACTATCTACGTGGTGTACCGCAAGCATTAATTATATAATAATGATAGTAATAATAATAGTAATAGGTCAATTTATAAGGTGCAAATATACAAGGTGTAAGCACCAAATAATAATAATAATAATAATATAAATAATAAATGATGATTATGATGATGATAATGACATTGCAGCGTTTGTAAAAATTTCACTGGTGCTGGGAACAGGCCCCCTCACCAGTCAAAAAGTGGGTGGGCCAATGGCAACTCTAACCCCCCCCCCCCCACTTCCTCCGCCGTTGAAGAAGACGGCGTGTCACAAACAGAGTTTGGTGTTTATTTAATGCTGTACAATTTTTAGGTGATTCCTTTTACTATAGGTTTGTGACCTGTGCTTTGGCAGAGACCCACCATAAACATCTATCAATAAAAGTCACCCGCTAACCTGATATACACGATACAGGGGTCCCAAGTTGGATGAACCAATTTCCGGGAGATTCGTTTAATGAAATTAGGGGCGCTATATATTCTATGAGGGAAAAGTATAGGTACCAAACGAAGAACCACGCCCACCGTCAGGCCCACAATGATGGGGCTGAGGAGATGAAATTTTTTAGAATAGGCACCTTAAGAAGCCCGGAAATGGCACTGTCAGACTGCAAAAAATATAATTGTCAACTAAAGTTTATTCCTAAATAAAACAAAATTTTTTTAATGAATTTGTGGGTGAAAGTGAATTCCGGGAGATTTTTGCTTGTTTGCGGGAGTGCGGGAGATCGTACCGATTTCCGGGAGATTCCCGTGAGATCTCCGGGTTGACGCGAACAAAATTAACATTTTCAGGATTTTTAGCGGCTATCGCTCAGAGGGTGGATTTATCAAACTTACGGTACCTAACAAAAAATCAGCTTAAATTGTTCAATAAAAAAATAAAGATATAGAGATAATATATTCAAATTTTGTCTGGAAGTGCAATTTCTGGCCATCTAGAGGTGCCATAATCACAATTTTTCTTACCTCAGCCCTAACCGTGGTGGGGCTGAGGACCTATAGGTCTTCTATCTGTGAGAGTACCCTACCTGGGCCATACTATTTCCTGGACTGGAATTTACAACAAATATGAAATCATATTACAGTAGCTTGATGCCTATAAAAATAACTTATAAAATTCACCAAACTTCGTAAAATATCCGTAGCTTCCAGGGGGCTTCGCCTCTTGACCCCCACCGGGAGCTCTTGGCGGCCCCTGGCCCGCAGTCTAGATTGCTTGCTTTGCTCGCATACTGCCCGCGCACCTATGAAACAAAAACTACAAAATACTTATTCAAATGTAAACACTAATTTAATATTTATTATAAAAAGTGGGATTACATCTAGGCATAATGAAGGAAAACTTATCTAACCTAACAACTAACTACTCACGTGAGTTCAAACTGGAGATAATATATGATTGCCCAATAATAGTTTATAGTGTTTGAATATGAGAAAATGAATAAAGATTGAACCAGCGAAAGACGCCAAAATAATGTTCCAAATGTAGTTAGCCGTAACGAAGATTCCAGTCAGTCATGGTCCAATCAAATTGTCCATCCGAATAATACGAGGTAACACCATAAACCATCCAAACTAATCCAACTCAGCTCGTTCAGAGCTGAGCGGTGTAGACTCTGCCCCATCTAAGTTAGTGTAGTTATGTTGGTAGGTACTCTGGCCACATGGCACCCGGGCTGAGGTACCACACCTCTCATTTTATACTTCTTGATTTGATTCAACTTTCCATTTCAATAATCCCATTTTCAACATGTGTTTATAGTATATTGAAGTATACGGCTTCTCCTTGTTAGCGACTCTATTAGTTTGTAATGAGGAAATGTAATTATTATTGGTTATTATCTCTAGTTTACATTCCTTAAGTCACATTCCATTCCCTATCTGGGTTTAAGTCATCCATCACTTTTAGGTGATGGATGACCGGCCCTTATAGTACCACAAGAATGTACAACACACACACTCACTACTGTAAATTCCCGGGGAACAACCTACCAGGAAATGAAATTACTGTAAATTCGTAGCTTAAATATACACAAAAAATACTACTACATCCTCCTTTGCTTTAGCGAATGTCGTCCTGTCAATACACATGTGTAAATTATGGGAGCTAAGCCAGTTCTTAAAAGTCTCATCAAACACGGTAATACAACAGAATAAAAACAGTTTAAAATGCGTATAGTTAAACGAAGTTTCTCATAAAAATTTCGGAAAGGTCTACAATGAATTTACAAGTGAACAAATTATATATTTACCAACCTTAAAATTAAAGTAAACATTTTTACATCATAATCTAACAAACAAAGAAATCATAATATTAAGCCTAAAACAAAAAAAAAAAAAAAAAAAAAAAAAAAAAATAAAAATATTAGATAAGAAAATTATATCCCTCTTGTCTTAATATTCCTGGGTAGTTACTTGAGATGTCTTTAACAATAAAACTGCATATTTCCATGGCCTAATATCACAGTCTGTAGAGCAATACAAAATGTTTCACCTAAATTACTTTTAGAGTTATAGGGTCGGTCAGATTTAGGTATACGTCATATTGGAAAACATACTGTAAATCAATTTAATGAAACAAGCGATACTCAAACACAATTCAAATGAACAAGGATACAGTACTTAACAGACAAAAAATACATTTTTAAACATCAATTTATAAAAGACAATGCATAAATTAAGTGGAAAAATGTAAACAACGTTAATAAAAATCCTGTCGTTTCCGTGGTTGACAGTCCTGACAAATTTAATGACACACAATTGGTCTTTTTACAAAATATATAAATTACACGCACGCAGAAATTTTAAGTTCGCTTATTTGCCGAGCCCTAGATTTGGCGCCAACATGACTTAGTGGGTGTTTAACCCTACTTTAAAGAGCAAGTGAACAGTCATTTAGTTGATCATGGGGGCTCGGGTTCCAGTTACGCGCTGCGTAGACGATAGACTTATGCAACCATAAACAAAAAGTACAGAATCCCTTATATGTAAACACTTACTTTTAAGAATTAAAATATTTATTATAAAAAAGGGGTTACAACAACCAGAAAACTTAACTAACCTAGCAACTACTCACGTGAGATCAAATTGAAGATAAAATATTATTGTCCATTCACCAACTGTCCAATGATAGTATAATATTGTTTGAATATTTAATACATAAATTCAAAAAAATACTCTAAATGCATAGGCTTAATAAGCACAAAAATATGCATTACTACATGACTATATCTTATCTATCTTCCTGTTGTTTCTAAATGTATTGAAATGTGGCCCACAAACCAGTTTTACTTAACTTTAAAAATTAAAGACGAATCCCCAAATACTGTAGTCTCATAACAAATTATTAATTTTGTTAAATGTTAAACCCCATAAACACATTGGAATTACTCTTGGCAATCATTTAAATTTTCAACCTCGTGTTTCTAACCTTTTTAGTAAACTAGGTTCCTCTGTTTTTCTTCTTGCCGAAAGTCAACTTTCCTCTATTCTTCTGTTTAAAACTGTAGTGCCCCTCAAAGACATTAATTAATATAACTCTTTGTGGGGTGCCAGACCAGCACATATATTAAAAACCAGGAAACTTCAAAACAGAGGCATTCGTATCATTCTGAATCTTCTCTCTCACACTGCATGTAACTCCTTTCATAACACTCTCAATATCTTTAATGCTCAAAGAATATCACTCCAACTTGGCTGCATCGCCTACCGAGCCTCTTCCATTATAGAGATCTATCTATATTTATATTGTATTTATAATTTTATTCATTCTATTGGCTCTTTCAACTGTTTTAAATTTACGATAAAGCATTTCTCTTACTCCATGTAAATGGTTTTATTTTTATGTTTCTTATCTTTTTTTATGCGTTTTACTTGTTTCATAGCTGTATTGTATTTTTTAATAATATATGTGAGAGACCTAAATGATCAGCTTTGCCGGATAAGTTACACTTCTTAAACATGGGTTTAAATAAATAAATAAATAAATAAAAATCAGATTATGGTATAATTATTTTCAGAATAAAAAAGAGGTTTAATATCGTATGTGGCGTAGCGTATTAACGAAATAGTTCCTTTTCCTGAACATAATATGGAAATATACACAAATTACAAAATCCAATAATAATAATAATAATAATAATAATAATAATTGTTTTCTCATAACTGATGGAACGTTTTCTTTAAATTGATATGCTTGAGTGTGAACGAGAATCTTGACGAGCCGCTTCTTTGCAGAAGTAGAAACGTAGAATGTCGGTTCTGAGTCAAAAAGAGAGATGTTAACATTATTTTGTAGTAAAAAAATGCAATGGCCTGTAGTACCTATATGTGTCTTTAAATCGGGGAAAATATTGTTATTAAAATAATAGGAGACTGTATACATAAATGTATCTCAAATATATACGAAAGGAAAACGAAATGTTGTACTGTAGGTCAGTCATTTATATTACATTATTATCACATAAAGACCATTGAGTATAGATGTAATTGTAAAGCTTATTCATATAATAAATTGAACGGCAAACGATTATAGCGTTAGTATTCCATTCACAACTATTAGCTATTATTCGTAGGATTGTATGTTGATAAGCTGTCGAAATCTTGAAGTATTGAGGAAATTTCGTTTTGATCATCCCCGTTGTTTTCTACTTCATCGCCAACATTTCTGAGTTTGAGTAAGCCAGTCGACCTTTCAGAGAAGCCCTCCTTGACTTTTTTAAGTAGATCAACTGTGTAAGGATACAAAATAATATTGATTGATTCTATTATCATTTAGACAAATCATTATTTTAATGCAACATTATTTAATGAAAAAATAATATTGATTGATTCTATTATCATTAGAGAAATATTTTTTTAATAAAACATTATTTAATGGAAAAAATAATAGGCCTATTTATTGATTCTATTATCATTAGATAAATCATTATTCTAATGCAACATTCTTCAATGATAATGTAATATTTATCGATTCTATTATCATTAGATAAATCATTATTTTAATGAAACATTATTTAATGAAAAAAATAATACTGATTGATTCTATTATCAGATAAATCATAATTTGAATGAACTACGCTTAATTTGGAAAAAAAAAAATTAAAATGCAAGTATACTATAAACCAGGGCCAGAAATAAACACTTACCAAATACTACCAACATAATTGAGAGATTGAGTAGCAAAAGAATAAAGGGTGTGACGTCACGAAGAACAGATATTGTGTCGTCTGTGATGTACATCAAAACTCCCCCGGACTCTGTCATGTCAACAATTGCGCCAACCGACAAGTTGACGATAACGAAGACAAGTGTCAACAACTGGAACCTCTGATCTGACTTCTCCTTAAATGGTTCAAGATACAGATGTAATGCTATGAGGATGACCGTGATGAAGAGCGAATATGACATGTTGGAGGGTTCGTCATCCTTGAAGTTAGCAATAAGGGCGAGTATAGCTTTGTTGTACATATCAATTACCTCCCAGTACCAAAACCTGGAACTGTATTGCTTGCAGAAAAACCTCATTCCCATTGTACCAGATCGTTCCCCATGGCGTTTGTATCTACGGTACAATACCAGTATGATAGCAAGTGGAAAACCAATCACATACACCAACGAACCATACACGATGTTCTTGTTACTCTCGTATTTTGAACCATTAGATTCATCGATATCGATAGAGTAGTCGGAAGTTAAAACTCGCTTTTTGTCGTTATCATCATCAGCTGCGACATTAAATGTACGAACTGACCACGGCCCTACCGCCATAATGTTTGAGCAAGTGTTTGCATAGGTTAAATACAGCATCATCATTGTAATCGACAGGAATTTATCCGTTAAGTGATGCACAGAGTGATCCTCTTTGTACCATCTGTAAATGCGCAGGATGAAGAAGACGATTGATGTTAACAAAATAATAGTGAATGGTGTTGCAATGGCGATATACAAAAATGTGTAAGCATTCCAAACACCATGAAATATACAACTGGGGCTCAGAAGATTTAAATAACGTATTATATCAAGATACTGGAGACTCTCTCCAACAGATTGAAACGAATCTGGCCAATGTATTTCATTAACTTCAGATAGAATACCCAGAACCTGATAGAAATTGATGGCGATTTTGAGATGAATCACGAATGCATCGTTGCGCATTGCCTGGGGTCTTCGTTTATCCAGTTTCCACACTAAGTACGAAACACATACGACCACCAAAGTTATCAATATCAAAACAATTATTATGATGTGTTTATCCTGACATTTGTAACACTTGTCAAATAATTCGTAATAATTATCACTGCACACAGCACATAACCAAACATTAACAGAATAACCTTCCGAGCACTTTGCTTCAATATTTCCACCAAGGCAACTCTCGCTTCGTGGACACTTGTGGGCTGCCGGTAGATATCCTGTGTACACTGTGTCATTTAAAGTATTAGGTTCAGAAAGTTTGAAATTGGAAGTAGTAAGATTATGGACAAATAGTCTGTACTCATCTAAACTATCAGGATAACTTGTAAAATTCCACGACCATCCGTAGCCCTCTTTCAATTTCTGGTAACCACCTGTGCAGTTAACGCCTTCGGGGCACGGCTTACATGCGCCGTAGCGGTAAGTGCGATAGAAGTTTTCTAAGCATGCACATGCTTCAAGTTCTGCCATTACCTCTGTGTTGGTTCCCGATGGACATGCCTTGCAATAAAATATTGAGGTAGCTCCAGGTTCAGAGGAAAATGTTCCATTTACACACCGGTTACAGTCGGTTGTGTAATTACCAGTGTCAACATATCCATGATTGTCTTGATAAAAACCACCTACAAATCAAATAATGTATGACTAAGTGCAACATAATGATAACATAAATAATAATTAAAACATTATTTTTAATATCAATAATAAAAACACCGGCACCAAAAATAAACAGAGCATCGTCTTTCGTATGAGAGATTTATGTTGTTCTCCCATAGTTTGTAGTACGGCCCATTTCCACATTATGGAACAGTGTATTCTTCTGTGATTAACAGTGGATTGTCTGTCGGTACACTGCCAAAATCACCCAAATGAAAACATTTTTTCGGACGTGTGATATCTTTGGTATATTTTCATACACTGTCGTCCCTAATGCTAATTTCTTATGTTTTGGAAGACTCATAAAATGGTTTGTAACCATAAGAAATAACCGCAATAGCTTGTTTGTATAGTTTATTGGTTATTATTTACTCAAAATGTATTTATAGTAGAGCTGCTAAGGTTGAATTTCAGGTAGAATCGTGCACTTCTAGAAGAAAGCATGAAACTTCCTACAGTGATACTATGACACCTAAAGATCATTAAAAAAAATAGACCCCAAAAAATAACGCCTCCTATTGGCCACCATCTTGAAATCCAATATGGCCGCCAAAATATTTGATTTTAGCCAATATATTCATATCTACAGCACATGTTATTGCCAATTGAAGATCATTACCCATGTTTTCAATATCAGGGAGTGTAATGCAATCATCAGAAATTATGTCAGATGACGCCGCCTTATTAGATTTCAAGATGGCCGCCATATTAATGATATTTTTGTCAATATTCATATATACAGTACCTAGCACTGTCAATCAAAGTTCGTTGCCCATGTTTTCGATATCAGGGACTACCATGCATCCATCAAATTATGTCAGAAGACCACCATAATAAATTTCAAAATGGCCGCCATCTGGAAATTTAACATGGCCGCCAAAATAATTAATTTTAGCCTATGTATTCATATCAACAGCACATATCACTCCAACTGAAGATCATTACCCACGTTTTCAATATCAGGGAGTGTCATGCAATCATCATAAATTATGTCAGGTGGCGCTGCCATATTGGATTTCAAGGTGGCCGCCAAATTATTGTTATTTTTGTCAATATCTTATCTACAGCACCTAGCACTGTCAATTTAAAGACCGTTACCCATGTTTTCGATATCAAGGACTATCATGCAGTCATCAGAAATTATGTCAGAATGCCACCATATTGAATTTCAAGATTGCTGCCATATTAAATTTCAAGACGGCCGACAACTTAATTATTGATATTCAGGGGTGGCGCCAGGATTTGTCCGAACGGGGGGGGGGCGAGGTCCCCGACGAGGGGTCAGATTTCCCCGACGAAAGCAATGTGGGCATGGTCGAGCTTCGATTATAAGGTTCCGAAAGTAGTCCATGTGGCGAAGCCCCCTAAAGTGTTAACAATTTAAAGGCTTATTTAATCGATTTTAGAGTCTACTAATATGTAGAAAATACATATAATTTTTTTTTCTTCCCGTCTACTCGTGTTTTCGATATCCGAGAGTATCATGCAGATATCAGAAATTATATCAAATGGCCACCATATTGAATTTCAAGATGGCTGCGATATTGGATATCAAGATAGCGGCCAAAATATTTGATTTTTTTCCATATTAACATAAGTAAAGTACTAGCACTGTGAATCAAGATTGTGTATATGTATAATTAGGGATATCATGCAATCATCAAACATCTCATAATCATAGTGAGACCTGCCTATGTCAGTAAAGTAACACCATTTAGAAAGAAGTTTGACAACTGCCAGGTTGGATTTCAGAATGATTGCCAATTAAGAAAGGTACATGAAAGAAATGGAAATTAAAAAAATTAATAGAAAACAGTTAAGGAATAACAAATTGATGGTAATCAATCGAAAGTAATGAAAATAGAAAAATAAGTAAATAACTGCTTTGTACGGTATGAGAGCAAGTGCAGAGGGAGAGAGGTAAATGCAGATATTAAAATCGTTCATATTAAAGCTAGTTTTAGCCTAAATGAAATTATGTAAACATAAATCAAATATTCAAATTAATGGTGCGAAGACACTAATATCGAATAGACCTCATGTCCATGAGATGGCTAATTTTCATTTTCAAATAATATATAAATATATGTAAATATTGAAAGGGAAAGAAACGGAAAAGAAAATTAAAGAAAGGAAAAGAAAGAACGGAAAGGAAAAGAAAAAAACTGGAAAGGGAAAAGAATTAAAAAAGAATGGAAAATGAATATAATGGAGAAAGTAAAAAGAAATAAAAGAAACATCAAGGAAATTCAAGAAAAGTCTATAGATAACTTTAGCATAAATTAAATTATGTAGACATAAATTAAATATCGAAAGGTCCACTGATTAATCTCAGATAAGAAAGTATAATACATACTCCAAGTATTGAAATACACGCCATCGTGTTGGGATTCAATATTTCGACATTAATTATGTCATCATCAGGAATGAA